GTTTTTTTGAAAAGAGAAATGTTTAATTTTTTTTTTTTTTTTTTTTTTTTTGAAGGAAGCAGGATTGTCAGCCCTGAAGAAAACTGAAAGATGAGTTCACAAAAGACCTGGAATTTTAAAATCTATTCTCTATGGGCTCTTTTATTTGCCTGCAGGTTTGGAGCCTCTAGAATACACTTGGGAAATATTTTCAAGCTTTTCTCTGCAGCTGGGTGGGGGGCCTGGACAATTGCATTGTTTTTAGAAAAAAGTTGAGATCATCACATAATTACTTTTCCATAGGATCTGAGCTTTCAATGAACTATCCAATAGCATCAGGCTTTGAATGAAACCGTAACCATCTTGACACACTGAATTTAAATTTTGTTCTCCTGCAAAACCAAATTCTGTCATTGTCTTTTAAATCAGTGAGCATACAATAGATACCTACAGTTTCATCAGCATATACCTATAGGTTCATAGTTGATTTTGAAGCAAATTTCATGTTCTCTGTGGAGTCAAAATCTTATGTACTTCCTTTGGCCCAGCTTAATTAAAAAATGTATTAATGTAATAAGGAATAGTTTAAATCTTTAACCACAGCCCTTTCTAAAATGCTGGGAAGTTCAACCCGTACTCTTTTGGAAGAAATTTTGATTTTCGTTCATGATCTAGGTGTTACAATAAACACCTGACTAAATGAGGATGCAGAAACTCCCTAACCCTTCCTGTGACAGGAAGGATGCTTTGGCTAAAAAGGGTTAACTTGTTTCAAGTTCAGCAGAAAGCAACAGTCGTGCCAGAGAAATATTCACTAGAAATACAACTGCAGCTACTGAACCATCTTCTCCTGTGCTGTTCCTTTCCTCTGAAGTCAGTAAAGGGTTTTAAAAGTGTCGGTACCATGCAGACTGTCAAAGATATCCTCCGGTCTTAGTGCTAAGGAAGCAAATTTTGGAGGTTTTTAACTACTTTGTACTGGTTTGTTGATCTTGCATCTATTCTGAAATACTTGTCAAATTTCAAAGGTAATTTGAGATTTATGAGATGTGACACAAGACAGGAACAATTCTTAAGGCAATTTCAGATTTCCTGTTAATTTGTTTTTAATTATAGTGCTGTTAACAGCCTTTAATGCCTGTGTGTCCCTGGAGCTTTCCTGGAATGTTTTATTAAGGTCCCATGTGGAGCTGCTGCATTGCCTGACCCATGAAGAACTGGACCTGGAGGTGAATGACTGCCTGTGCAGGGGCTCATTTAACAAGACCTTTAGCAAAGTTTCTCTGCGGACCTCTTGACAGAAGACAAGTTCAAACTATCCATAGCATGGAATAAAAAGAGAGAGACTTGGTTTTGTCTGTATATGTAGACTAGAAATGACAGGCTCAATTCCTCCCGGTAGTCAGTGGCCAGCAGCGACT